CCAAAACCATGCAACCACACGTTTCCTCAACAGTAAAACCCACACGTGCTTCTTATATGTATAAAGGAAAAATGATATATATATAACATAAAGAATATTTGCCTTTCAAACAATCACCAACTATACACATGTGAATACCAAAAACCAAATCCTACCATCATATAATATCAAATACAGATACTATGCAAACGTTGAACAAACAACAAAATCAAAATACCAAAAAATTCAAAATATAAATAGATTAAAAATTCAAAAATAAAAAAACCATATATAAATAGATTAAAAAATAAAATAATGCTAAAAGAACCATAACAACAAATAAAAAAATACCAAAAAACTGAAAATAAAAAATACACAAAAAACTTTAAAAAATTTATTAAAAAATTTAAAAAATAAAAATAAATCCTATAGTAATAAAAAATCCCATGACCAAACTCTTTCAAAAATCTCCAAAACATACTAACACATAAAATAATACACCGATTTTTAAACACAGCAACCTGGCGCTCGCACATCGCGCGGGATAGCTTACCTAGTCTTTCATATGAGTTTGCAAATGACAAAAACAAATCAAAAAATCAAGAAGCAGGCAGTTTAGACAGATGTGTTTTTTTTTAAAAGTACCATGAGAATTTAATGCAAGGGCAAAAGCAACAATTTTAGTGGCAAACAAAAAGATAGAAAATTTTACCTGCTCCACGCGCCACAGAAAATGTAGCACAGCAGCAGGTAACAAAATTACCGATTGGCCAGGGGAAGTAGAAACAATTAGTAAAAGGGCAAAGAAAGGGGCAAAAAAGTACCACAAAAATAGGAAATAACACAATACAATATAAGGCAAAAAAGGCACGCATGAAATATAGCATTGCAAATCTATATCTATATGTACTGCAGAAAGGGTTTTAGAAGAGACTCTCTCAATGGCTTTCAAATTTTTCATTCTTTTTTCTAGATTTTTGTATTTATTTTAATACGTAAAATCTAATTAAAAACTTTAAAATAGTGGGTTATAACTAATCCTATCACTAGTCAAATTTAAAATTTGAAACTTTCCTACTATCTCCTTTGCAAACCGTTTATAGTTTGTTATTTATACTTTAAGTCCTGTTTACTTCTTAATTAAATAAAATACATTGGTCAAGCCAAAATTCTCAGGGATAATTGATTAGTCTCATTTTAAAATTATTCACGCTATTATATTTTTATCACCTTAGCCCCTTTTATTCCTTCATTAAAGAGGATTAATTTATCTAGCCAAATCCTCGAGATAATGTGATTAATTTTTTTATTTATTCACCCAATTATTTCTTTATTGCTTTCCTTCTGGGTACAATAATTATTTGTCAAAATCTTCTAATGACATACTCTATTACTCTTATTTTTTTAATAATTTATGTTACAATTACTAAATCAATTTTCTTGTGGTCTTAAACTTACCCTCTTTTTTTTTTTGTATTCAACAAGCTTAGGGCACTTTAATAGGTTTGCTTTTTATAATTTTTATAATTTTTATGCTGGATTTTATTTAGTAGGTTTTTTTTTAAGTTTTAAAATTTGAATGCTGAAATTATACTCTAACATTACATTGGAGTATGTAAATAACAACTATGACATTTTATTTGCACTTAGAATAAACTCAATATTAGTATCGTGCAAGCATCTAAATGACTTTTCATTTAGCACATGTACACCAAAAAGTGCAGGTAAAGAAAATTTTATGTATGAATTTTAAATTAATAAAGGTGTATTTAGAAGATTGCTTTTGGTGGTATTTTAGGGAAAGTTTGATAAAAAGGTTGTATTTCACCAAATTTACATCCGAAAGTTTACTTTTTCTCGATGATTGCAATTCTAGCTTTTTATTTGATTAAAAACACTTAAAAATGAAGCAGCAACTTGGAAAAATAATACTAACTTTTTTATATGTCCAAAAAACTTAAAAAGTGAGATAATGAATTCTAAATAGTGAAAGGATTAGAAAAATAGGACTATAGTGTTAGGGAAGTTAAAGATTAGAGGACAGTTATCAAATTAGATGATTCATATGAGTCTGGAAAAGTTATAATTAGGTTAACTTATATATTCCTACTTATATAATTATTAGAATTGCAATTATATTTTAATAAATACAGTTTTATATGGGTTTGGATTATCCAATCACCCATTCACAGCCCGCTACTAAATTTTATTTACTTTTTCATCCATATTTTGTTTAGCAACAAAATAGTAAACCATATCAACATATCAAGTTAATAAATCAATTTTTACCTAAAGAAAGAGAAAAAAACATAAAAAATTGCTTAGAGGAGCCTAAAATGGTCATCACAGTGAGTTTCAAATTTTGTCACTTTATGGCAATCTAAAAATAATTTAGGTATTAATGCAAACAATCAATTAGCATTCATGAAATTTATTAAACTTTTATGAAAGGAATGGAGGAAGTCGGATAAATTTTAAAAAATAAAATAATAGAAATTAAAGAAGAGGAAACACGATGAATATATCTTTGAAAAAATTAGAATATAATTATCAGAGTAATTTAGATTTACCCACTAATGATTAATCTAATTTAATTAAGTCAAAATAAGTGATTCAGATCTGTCAATTTCATACCCACTAATTAATGGGTTAATTTGGTCATCCATTTGAATTCAATTAAATTACACACGCAAACTCATTTGTTAATAGGTGAGCCAAGTAAATAGATTATCATTTACATTTATAAATAGATGAAAATAATAGTAGGATAAGAAACAAGTGGGTTATAAAATTGGATAAGAGGTAGGATAATTGAGTGGGAGCGACATAGAGTAAAGAGAAAGTAGGATTTGATGAAATGAGAAAGGGTTGTAGGGATACAAGAAAATTGAGTAGGATTTGAAGGAACGAGAAAAATTTACAGCAATGCGAAAAAGTTAGATTTAGAAAGTGAAAAGAGGAGTAGAGGGAATATTAAGGAAAGAGGAGTTTGAGAGGTAAAAAAAATGACACGAAGAAAGAGAACATAAAAGAAAAGGATAATAATGTTGTGTTTGACCATATTTCTCGTATAAACCCGGGCATAGCTCCAATATCCTAGTGTAAAAGGAAGTCAGAGTCAAATAGTGAACTTCCAACGAATGAAGCAGTCTTTCATCTTTCAATTGAAAAAAAGCTTAGAAACAAAAAATGAGGTATGTGGTCAACAAAAGAGAACAATGGGTCAATCAAAAATAGGGCCAAAGAAGAAGTAAATTACAAAGCAGCCAAACAACTGGCAACATAGATCTTGGATCAAGGCAAAAATGAATGGAAAACAGAAAAACAACTAAGGCTAAAGTAATACCTCCAAATCTATGACACCGAGCAAATGGACCAAAATAGGGCAAACAAATCCACCAATGCCCAAATAACCAACCGACATACTCCTTAGTGTTCATTCAAGCAACACCCACTTTTATATAGTTCGATTAGATGTAAGATATATTATATATTTATAATTATAATATTAAAAATATGATAAGTCTTGACATTGTAGAGAGTAAGAATTTTTTGATCTTAGTTTTTATTTTGCTTATATTACCTTCCTGTCTTTCCATTAGAGTTATTGCATTTCAATTATAGTGGTAATAAAAAATATGAAACATTGTAAATGATTAAATCTCAAAAGATCCCTATTAAAATTATTTAGCAACCCTTGCACTCAATCTCCAATTCTTATATGCATAAAAGTTTTTTATCCGAAACAATTTCTTACTCGAAATAGTGTGACCAATTGCACTAGCCACAATTTTAAGATTGTAAAAAATATTAGTATAAAAAATAGATGTTCTTAGAACAAAAGAGAAATATATAATAAGAGAAAAGAGTTCATATTCATTTGGAGAACTTTATATGAAAATCACAAGATAGATGCATAATTATGTGCTTTTATCAATATGAAGAAATACAAAGAAAAAATAAAAAAATCCAACTATTTCTATCAATTGAATTTTGATTGACAACTATATAACCAATCTAATATAATTGAGCAGTACAAATCATTTACATTCTTTATTAACCTCAATAACACTTAGAAAAAATGTAAATAATCCAAATTCAACAGCGCACCTCACATTATTCGATTAAAATTCATAAAAAAATTGAAAAGTTAAACTGGAAATATATAAAGTAGAATAATTAAATATTCATGCAAAGTTTGATATAAGCAATGTTCATATATTTTATACCTTTCTTATTGTATAAGCACTGTTCTTATATTTTGTACTATTCATGCGATGTTTACTCTTCCATTTCTTTTTGTATCCTCAAACCTATCTTTAACGGAATTTTTTTTTTCTCGTGAAATGACTCGGATACGAAAAGGACTGAGGATATGATTTTATACAACCGACACTAGTATGGACATTTGCTTTCAAGTCGCTTGTGTGCTTGAGAACGTTGAATGTCTGTAGCAAATTTAAAATAGGGCAAATGACACCCCTTGAGAAAGTAGAAGATAGGGATAATTTGCTTCTGGAAAATATCCACCGTGTTGACGGTTGCGGTCGAGGGCTAGGAGTCGGAGGATACTTCCGAGAAACAACGTACGCCTATACTTACCATCAGACGTTAGGTACGCATCGCGCACTACTCTCAGACCTTAGGTACGTACGCTATATATATGAGCTGGTTCCATCCTCTATCGCAACAAGTATTGATGGGGGACGCTGTCCTGATCCAACTCGATCCTGTTAACGATAATGATCTCGCCGGAAACCCACGCAGGTCAGTTGGTCACTCATTTACATATTCTATCGATCCCTTTTGTACTTACAGGGCTTCAAATGCTTTTCAATCTTTTGCTTGTCTTGGCTTCTGCACCGTTATATATTTATGTCAAGTACCAGCACAACTAGATAGATTTTGTCAGTTAGTCGTATATTATGAGAGAGTTTTATATACATAATGACGGGGCATGAATCTTGGCTATTTAAGAGACTTTGTGCATTTGAGATTCAGCACACTTTTTGCTCAGAGTGTTTGTATATTAGTGCGCTTGAGATTCAGCACACTTTTTGCTTAGAGTGTTTGTATATTATATACTAGTTTCTTTGAATTCGTGTTTGGTAAAACATCTTGTTTTACAGGGATGAAGTGAATGAGGATCAATTGAACTCGACACCTACTTGTCATACAGTCTTAAAATATTCGATTCCCTCTTTATCTGGGGTTGTTTCGGTGAAGTATCAGGCCAAATCTGAGGACCCATTTGAAACACATCCTCTGCAAACCTGGAGTTTCGTTGCTGCTATACTTTCCTACACCCTATTATTTTTGGCTATGAAGCAATCGCAGAATCGCTGCCATAAATATGTGGATATATTGAATGGTGTTGCTTTCGCTAGTGGAGTCCTCTCCAGTTTCTCACTACTATCCCTGCTCCTCCCATCCCACCCTGGACTAGTGCTCCTTAAGGCTTCTTGGGCACCATCTGCTGCTATAGCGGCATGGCCGCTGCTTCAGTGCACCTACCATTGGCTCTTCAGCGGCATCCAAATGCTGCTTAATGGACTTGTATGCCTTGCAAGAAGTATGCTGACAGCATGGAACTTGCATCAGCAAGAATCACGTTCGCCCGTCTGAATTTCACTGCAAAGAATGTTGGCAAAATAAATCAAACCTTGAAGTTTCTATTTTTATATTTTTACTAGTTTTATTAGGATCCGGTTTTTAATAACTCTGCAGAAACTTACCGTTAGGTTGCTTCAAACCACCAAAGATAGGTGTAAAAAAGAGTCTTAGATGGTGATGAAAGTGAGCCATTTACAGGTCAATCAGCCTTAAGGCAATGGTAAATTTGGTCCAGCGTGACCAGAAAAGCCGCAGGTTTGATACATAGGGACAGTACTCTTGTGTAGTACACATCTCCATTGGAGGCTTATCAGGGCTTACATCAATTAAAATGTTAATGCAGGCTGTAGAAACAATGGATAGCAAACTAAAGACTTAGTTCATTCAATGATTAGAAGCGGCAAAACAACTGTAAAATCCAATCTGAAAGCCAACAAATCATGCAGAGAAGTTGTTAACTTTATTCCCAATATTCAAGCACTTAGTCCTATCAGAAGTTGACTACACGCTTCAATAGGCATTTAAAATGATCACAAGAAAGCTACAGATGTCTAAAATCTAAACAAGATGAATAACTTACCTTACCATCTAACGGATTCCAGTCAAAGTCTGAATCAAGCAAATTCTTCTTCCATAAAAGTGAGCATCTAATCAAGGGATGACTAATATATTTTGCTAAGCAGGACCAGTTTGAAATTCCATAAAAGTGAACATAGATGTATGTAACTTACACATGAATAGGCAGAGATGCAATAGTTAGGATGACGAAGCAAAGCTGATAGTCTCTGCAACCAAAATGGAGAGTATTACATATATTCATTTAACTTAAAACAACACCGTTTGAGGGAAGTATGCAAAACATGCAGACTAAGCACTTGTGCGTAGATAGTCCATTGAAGAGTTTAAGATTGGGAGTGTTACTACCTCTTAACCATTTCACAATTGCAATAATTGCCCATTTCATACTTAAAGGGTGACTTTACTAATCTAAACAAGTAAATGAACTATCTAATTTCTAAATTCTTATACGAAATGCAAATATAAATGAAATTGCTCAAACACATACGGGATAGGGGCATATTGCAGGAAAAAAAACGTACAAATGAGAAAAAATGAGGCTAAAAATATAAAAAATATGTACGAAAATGGAATGAATAACATACAATACATGGATTTAATGTGCAAAAAGTCTAAGATTTTAGTATTGAACTAGCCCATTTTTACAAATCTTCACTAGCATTGGATTAGCAAATAAACGAGGGAAGGTGTCACAACTAGGATTGTAATAGTGTGCTGGAGCTAAGCAGGCATTGTATACTAGAGCATGATATAAAAGGAGTAAACATAGAAAGCACATTCAGCACGTAACAAATAAGCATGATATATAGATGTCAATCCTTATGAAAGTATGCAAATATGTAAGCACATAAGAGCACGTAACACACACGAGCCTTATCTATTACATTAGAGAACATAACTACAATCTGATAGGGAAATGATGAAAAATAAACTCATCTGTTATATGTGAGGTCTTAACTGCAATCTAACAAAGGGAAAGTGAAAAAATAAACGAACTATTTTATTTATTTAAATGAATAGAACATGATAAAATTAGAGTAAAATAAACAAGCATTTTAAGAATAACATTACGACTAATAAGGTACCGTAATGGCAAACTAAGAAATTAAAACAACTTAGAACATATAAGCACAAAATAGCACATAATTGAATGTAAAACCAAGAAGGGTACCCCCCTTTAAAGTGTTGTTTTAAGGTTTCCCTATTTAGAACTCACAACACGAACAAAAGGAATAAAGATACCACTATCATATCATAGTAATAAAAGACCAAAGCTAATTAAAGTCATTTAGTTGTAATACTCATACAAAAACACAAAAAAATGCATAATTGAGGAATAAAATAGTAATTAAAGAAATCAAACTGCTCTAATTGAAAAATTATCATTCTAGTGGGACCTAATTGTAAAATTAGAGAGTTTTAAAGGTCAAAATCATATTATTAAAAAGATAATTAAGGGATCAAAATTAAATGTAGATAAAGTTCATGGACCAAACTGCAAAAAATGGACCTAGATGCAATAGAATCAAAGTTGTAGGCCAATAGTGAGGTTTCAAGAATTTGATGGACCAAATTGCAAATCTAGTTTCTGATTTTAAAACTCATTTTCAACCTTTTAGTGGAGCAGTGTGGTTTAGATGCAGGGCAATGCTATGTAGTTTTACTAAAACAATTTTCCTTTTTTTTTCTGTTTTTTCCTTTTCTCTCTTCTTCTTCCTCAACCCTAGTCACGGCAGAAATGAGCAGTAGCAACAGTAGTGCTGCCGGCCTTTGCCGCCACCAACCACCGCCAGTCATAGCCTTCCAGTGATAGATTTACCCCAAACTATCATCTTCCACTTCCGTCCTCGATATTTAAAAAAAAAAAAAAAAAGAAGTGAAAAGTAGCAAAAATGACTATTTACAACTAGATCTCTATTTCATTATCCCATTCAAAATAAGCACATACTTTACCAAACTTGTTCCAAAATGCTCCTCGTTAGATGTAAAACATAAATAAGCCCACAGATACAGCGTCAAAAATAATAAACTAAAAATAATAATTTGAAACTTTACAAAAAACCCATTCCTTGAACTACAACTTAAAGATTATTAAAAGATACCTTGGCAACGGCTTTAGCTTTGCTATGATAATGGCAGTGCTGCTCTCAAACTCTAGAAACTTTGGAGGAACCCAACGTCTTCATCCTGACTTTTTATTTCAAGTGTTTACTTGTGTGTGCAATTGTGTGTTTCTGTGTGTAGTGTGTGCTGTTAGGGAAGGAGTGGCCGAGAGAGACAGAGAGAGAGTTGGAGAGAGGAAAAGAGAGAGAGGGAGTGGAGAGCGTTAATTGTGTTGGTAAGTGTCACATGATAGAGAGAGCCGAGAGGGAGTTTTGTTTCCTGTTGCAAGAGATGCCAAAATGTACCATGTTCATGAAAACTGAGGGATCAGAGAGAGTTAAATGGAGAAGGAGGGAGAGTTAAATGGAGACCCAGTGCGCTTGGGCGGTCCTTGTGTTATTGTATGCGATTGACGGATAAGATATAACCATGCTGTCACTCACGATTAACATCATAATTCCTTTCGAGAATGTTAGAAATAAGAAAGAAGAATATATGCTTCAACGCACTTGAGAATTGTCCAAAGAAAAAAGAATATTTCAAGTGTTGCATGGGTTATCACTTTGTGGGCACACCACATAAAAATTGTCCAAAGAAACGTCTGCGTAGCCTTTTTGAGCGATTATGACTTTGGAATCTTCATTTGCAACTCGTTGAAACATAAATTAGATCCATCATTTTGATCAAAATGTAATCCACTTTCACATACAACATTCTCACCATTCATAATAGGATCGATTTGCATATGATTAGAAGAAATAACTTCACACAAATTACACAATTGGTTTTGAATTCTACCTAAGTGAGAAGCTAACTCTTGTTAAATTTTATCTCCATAGTTTCAGATTTTTGGATAGAGGAAAATATCCTGCTCATTTTATTTGATAAGGAGAAAAAACAAAATTATTTAGTGAAAAATAAACAATAAAAATATTATTAAAGTTCTATAGATTTGTTTGTATTGAAGATTATTTGGAAATTTTTTTAGAAATAATATTGTAATACTTTTTCTGATTTGATGTTTGTAAACTAAAAAATGGTTAAAAAAAATAAAAATATGATTGAGAAACGTGCCTATGATGCAACAAAAAAGATTCTTAGAAAAATTTAGCAATACAAACAATTTTTAGTAGCATCTAATCATGCTGTACTAAAAGAAATGAACCCAAAAATTTTGAACCCCAAATCAACTATGTTTCTCTCTTTTCTAACTATTATGAATGAAAAAAAAATATGTATTCTCCCATATAAAGAAAATATCTAGCTATTAAAAGAAAAGCGCAACCATATGCAGATTTATAAAGAGAAATTGATAATATTCGAGCATTTTTAGTCTTTAATAATAATTTTGCATATACATTTTTCAATAACAATGTTTATTATTTTTTCCATTATTACATGAAATCAACAAGATATTTCTCTCAATCTTAAAAAAGTATAATTATGGGATGAAATTCAATTAGGGCCATATCTATAAATATATTATTTTTTATTATCGTATTAGATACTGTAAACTTCTAGTCGTGCCATTGGACACAGGACTATTATTTTGCATGTGTGACAGAGATTGTGAGGTAATAGTGAATAAATTACCTCTTAACCATTGAAGAGTTTAAGATTGGGAGTGTTACTACCTCTTAACCATTTCACAATTGCAATAATTGCCCATTTCATACTTAAAGGGTGACTTTACTAATCTAAACAAGTAAATGAACTATCTAATTTCTAAATTCCTATACGAAATGCAAATATAAATGAAATTGCTCAAACACATATGGGATAGGGGCATATGGCAGGAAAAAACAACATACAAATGAGAAAAAAAAGAGTCTACAAAAATAAAAAAATATGTGCGAAAATAGAATGAATAACATACAATACATGGATTTAATGTGCAAAAAGTCTAAGATTTTAGCATTGAACTATACTATTTTTACAAATCTTCACTAGCATTGGATTAGCAAATAAAGGGGGGAAGGTGTCACAGTTAGGATTGTACTAGTGTGCTGGAGCTAAGCAGGCATTGTATACTATAGCATGATATAAAAGGAGTAAACATAGAAAGCACACTCAGCACATAACAAATAAGCATGATATCTAGATGTGTCAATCCTTATGAAAGCATGCAAATATGTAAGCACATAAGTGCACGTAACACACACAAGCCTTAACTATTACATTAGAGAACATAATTACAATCTGAAAGGGAAATGATGAAAAATAAACCTATCTATTATATGTAAGGTCTTAACTGCAATCTAACAAAGGGAAAATGAAAAAAATAAACGAACTATTTTGTTTATTTAAATGAATAGAACATGATAAAATTAGAGTAAAATAAACAAGCATTTTAAGAATAAAATTACAACTAATAAGGTATCGTAATGGCAAACTAAGAATTAAAACAACTTAGAACATATAAACACATAATAGCACATAATTGAATGTAAAACCAATAAGGGTACCCCCTTTAAAGTGTTGGTTTAAGGTTTCCCTATTTAGAACTCACAACACGAACAAAAAGAATAAAGATACCACTATCATATCATAGTAATAAAAGACCAAAGCTAAGTCATTTAGTTGTAATAGTCATACAAAAACACATAAAAATGCACAATTGAGGAATAAAATAGTAATTAAAGAAATCAAACTACTTTAATTGAAAAATTATCATTCTAGTGGGACCTAATCGTAGCATTAGAGAGTTTTACTGGTCAAAATCATATTATTAAAAAGATTAGAGATCAACATTAAAGTTCATGGACCTAAATGCATTAAAATGGACCTAGATGCAATAGAATCAAAGTTGTAGGCCTATAGTGAGGTTTCAAGAAATTGATGGACCAAATTGCAAATCTAGTTTCTGATTTTGAAACCCATTTTCAACCTTTTAGTGGAGCAGTGTAGTTTAGATCTTGGGCAATGCTATGTAGTTTTACTAAACTTGATTTTCCCCCTTTTTTTTTTCGCTATGTTTTCCTTTTCCCTCTTCTTCTTCCTCAACCCTAGCCACCGCAGAAATGAGCACCAGCAACGGTAGTGCTGCGGGCCTTTGCCGCCACCAACCACCGCCAGTCATAGCCTTCCAGTGATAGATTTACCCCAAACTATCATCTTCCACTGAGTCTTTTGCATAGATTCCATTTCCGTCCTCGGTATTTAAAAAAAAAAAAAAAAGAAGTGAAAAGTAGCAAAAATGACTATTTACAACCAGATCTCAATTTCATAAACTCATTCAAAACAAGCACATACTTTACCAAACTTGTTCCAAATTGCTCCTCATTAGACGTGTAACATAAATAAGCCCACAGATACAGTCATACAGCGTCAAAAATAACAAACTAAAAATAATAATTTGAAACTTTACAAAAACCCATTTCTTGAACTAGAACTTAAAGATTATTAAAAGGGACCTTGGCAACGGCTTTAGCTTTGCTATGATAATGGCAGTGCTGCTCTCAATCTCTAGAAACTTTGGAGGAACCCAACGTCTTCATCCTGACTTTTTATTTCAAGTGTTTACTTGTGTGTGTGTGCAATTGTGTGTTTCTGTGTGTAGTGTATGCTGTTAGGGGAAGAGTGGCCGAGAGACAGAGAGAGAGTTGGAGAGAGGAAAAGAGAGAGAGGGAGTGAAGAGTGTTAATTGTGTTGGTGAGCGTCTCATGATAGAGAGAGCCGAGAGGGAGTTTTGTTTCCTGTTGCAAGAGATGCCAAAATGTACCATGTTCATGAAAACTGAGGGATCAGAGAGAGTTAAATGGAGAAGGAGGGAGAGTTAAATGGAGAGCCAGTGCGGTTGGGGGGTCCTTGTGTTATCGTATGCGATTGACGGATAAGATACAACCATGCTGTCACTCAAGAAAATTTTAACATCATAATTCCTTTCGAGAATGTTAGAAATAAGAAAGAAGAATATATGCTTCAACGCACTTGAGAATTGTCCAAAGAAAAAAGAATATTTCAAGTGTTGCATGGGTTATTACTTTGCGGGCACACCACTTAAAATTTGTCCAAAGAAACGTCTGCGTAGCCTTTTTGAGCGATTATGACTTTGGAATCTTCATTTGCAACACACGCTTGAAGAGGGATTACATATACATCATTCATGCTTATCTCTTGAGATTCAAACTTTATTCTAAAGGCATTATCATGTGATATAGGTATTTTCTCGTTGAAACATAAATTAGATCCATCATTTTGATCAAAATGTAATCCACTTTCACATACAACATTCTCACCATTCATAATAGGATCGATTTGCATATGATTAGAAGAAATAACTTCACACAAATTACACAATTGGTTTTGAATTCTACCTATGTGAGAAGCCAACTCTTGTTAAATTTTATCTCCATAGTTTCAGATTTTTGGATAGAGGAAAATATCCTGCTCATTTTATTTGATATGGAGAAAAAACAAAATTATTTAGTGAAAAATAAACAATAAAAATATTATTAAAGTTCTATAGATTTGTTTGTATTGAAGATTATTTGGAAATTTTTTTAGAAATAATATTGTAATACTTTTTTGTGATTTGATATTTGTAAACTAAAAAAGTGGTTAAAAAATAAATAGATGAATGAGAAACGTGTCTATGATGCAACAAAAAAGATTCTTAGAAAAATTTAGCAATCCAAACAATTTTTAATAGCATCTAATCATGATGTACTAAAAGAAATGAACCCAAAAATTTTGAACCCCAAATCAACTGTGTTTCTCTCTTTTCTAAGTATTATAAATGAAAAAAAAAATGTATTCTCCAATATAAAGAAAATATCTAGCTATTAAAAGAAAAGCACAACAATATGCAGATTTATAAAGAGAAACGGGCAATATTCGAGCATTTTTAGTCTTTTAATAATAATTTTGCATATACATTTTTCAATAACAATGTTTATTATTTTTTCCATTATTACATGAAATCAACAAGATATTTCCCTCAATCTTAAAAAAGTATAATTATGGGATGAAATTCAATTAGGGCCATATCTATAAATATATTATTTTTTATTATCGTATTAGGAATATTGATTTTTTAGATATTATTTATCCTAAGTGTTATAAAATATTGAAGTTGACCAATGATTTTAGTGACAAACAAACAAATTGGAAAAAAAAAATTATGTTAGAGGATAAAGTGCAAAACAAGTTAGGGGAATTACTGCATTTAACTATTAAGGATATAAATGTCTTTTTGACATTACCATTACACAACATTAGAGTCAACTGACGGTTTAAGGGATAAAATGAGGAAAAAGTAACTTTTGGCAGCAAAGTACAAATGTTCATTACAAGTGCTAGATAAGTGCACAAAGAGACTGGGGTACCCTAAAAATGCAGGTTTTGGGTAGTACTGTAAACTTCCAGTCATGCCATTGGACACAGGACTATTATTTTGCATGTGTGACAGAGATTGTGAGGTAATAGTGAATAAATTACCTCCAAATAGGGTTGCAGAAATGTATTTAAGGGTTGGAGGGGCAGGAAATGTGATGAATTTCCATTCCCGAGGTCCTAATGATGGAGCCAATCAGCAAGGAGATAACTTTCATGAAAATCAGGCTAAGGAAGAGGCTGAACAAATAGATGTTTCGGCTGATACCACAAGTGACATTGAGGTATTAGGGGAATTTCCACCAGATTTGGTATTAAACAAGGCAGACGAAACTGACAGCAAAAATGATCATGCAATGGAACCAGAAAATTTTGATAACAGAAGTTCTGCTGAAGTGGAAAAGACAAAGATGTAGAGTTGGGACCAAAAAAAAAAAAAAGGCTGATAAAGAAAGAGCTCATAAAGTGGAACCAGTAATTCAACCAGCACCTTTCATGTCGAATGGCAATATCTGTTTTAACGTATCTACTCTCCAAGCTGCTGCGGGCCATAACATGCATTTAGGTGGAATTGGGAATGTGCAGCTCCATGGAGAAGGGAATGCATTTGCTAAGTTGTGAAATCGAAGTTCTGGTGCCAAATAGTCATGTGGTGGGTCTTTTTGTTCATTTAGGACCACTAAATGTCTGGTGTTGAATTAGTTTTGTGGTCAAAAAAAGGTTCTATCTGCTATTTTTGTTTTTGGATGAGCTAGCCTACTAGTATTTGTTTTGTTTGCTGTTATAGCTTGGGCGAAGGTTGAACATGTCTTTTTCTTCTCAGAATGATATGTAATCACAGTTGGCTTAATCCAGTTCAAATATCAGTTGCTCATCATTACTACTATCACATTTTTTGGCTATTTCACACAAGATTCCAGTCAATCAAAGCCCACTTAGAAAACAGCCCACTTAGAAACTAACCTCATAATCTTATATGTGCTAGCAAAATTACATTTCATCCGAGTAAACAGCTTTCTACAGCAACACTACCTGATTTCATTCTTTTAAAATATGTTAATACATAGTCTACTACATTACCTACAGAAAAGTTGCAACTAACCTTAGATTTATCCTAAACAAACTACTTCATATATCATAATGCTTCTTCTTCTCAATGTCTCTGGTCATTTTTTACCTCAAGTTTTGCCAGTAGAAACCACACTTCAATGTATACCCACTGGAAGATGATGTACATCTTCAGCCTCCCTAGCTTTTCCTTGCGGCCACCTTGAGTTCTCTTTCAAGCCGGCTATCTTAGCTTCCATCTTCTTCATCGATCTCAATAGGCTAGGTATTATCTGCTTTACCCTTTGACTCATTTCAGGATCAACCCAATCCTAATATCAACAGCCTCCAATTTCCTAATCAAACACTAGAAAATATTTGAAACACCAAACCTATTAAAAAAAACTCAAAGGATAGTACAAGGTTAACCCTAATTGACCGTAACGCCTACTTAATTAGCACATCGATAAAATCTTCTGGCAGGGTTTATGCTTGTCCATGATGTTATCAGTAGTGCTTTTTTTTCACAATTGCAATTCCTTTTTTCCCATCCCTTGGGGTTTTTGCTGAACGAAGTTCATAGGCCTTTTTCCTCTTCATTCTTCTGCTGCAACAATGCAAGAGTGAAAAATGTTCTGTTTGAGGAAGACGATCCTAGATTTCTTATGTCTTGGATCGGGTTTATGACTTTGATCGGGTAACTCTTAAATCAATGTCCCACATGTATAGGTTAAGTAGAGGGAAAGTTTCCCTCCTTGATGATACCCCTAATTTCCTTCCCATTTTCATTTTCTTTTTGAGACATTTTCCTTGAATTTCCTATAATGCCCTTGCACAAGGGCACATGTGGCCCACATCTCGATCCACCATTAGTTTTTTGGATTCCATCAATATTTTTGCTTGGGTGGTATGATTTTGAAAGTTTAGGGAATAAAGTATCCGATTTTGAAATTTAAGGATCAAAATGGGATACCGCATATAATTCGAGAGTATAAAGTGAAATTAATCCAATTAAAACATATATTGACCTGCTACAGTATAAATGTTTGCAATTATTGCACTGATCTAGCAAGCCTTTATACAGTTATACTTTACTATTATGCAAATCAAGTTCTCTCTCTTTATCCAAACTCTGACCTGCTACAGCTTATTGGTTAATGAAAATTTTATGTTGAAATTAATGTTTCTCCTTAGTTTATGTTAACAGTAATCTTAGAAGATACTTAGTTTTGATCTCTAATTTAACAAACATAATAGAATAGAATTATACAGAAGATCAATTTTCACATAGAATGCTACAGAAGATCAATTTCAACATCATCCCGTGCATAAAAAAAGCTGAAAATTTCTTGTTAGATTCATGAGTAGAGGATTATGTCTCACAGTTATTCGAGAGATGAAAAAATAATACTTAATATGCAAATAAGGGCACGAGACCTAACATTCGAGAGATGAAAACATTTTTCATAGAAAAAATAGTATTAACTTTTATCTGCTGAGCTCTAACAGCATAAACAAAATCCCCCTTCTTGCCTTGAAAAAATAAAAAAAAAAAAAACATAATAACTTTGTGCTGCTGGAATTAGTATAAGTGGGGGAGGTATTTTTTACAATTGTATCAAGAGTTTGAGAACCAAAGTACAAATTGCCTTGATATATATCTTCTCTACCACTTGGAGCTCCTATGTATCGACTTTGTGCTCTCATTTTGTAGAAAGAAATGGAGGGAAGAACATAACAACTCTGGGGGAGCAACTAGGGGTCCAAATCCACCAGAGTTCACTTGATTTGAGGTAACTAATGTGTAGAATTGAATTTTATTAGTGGAACTTAATAGGATTTGGTGATCTTTATGAACCAAAGTTGAGTTGGTAACTACTAGTTGGGAAAATTGAAGCTGGACAGCTATAAACCAATTTTATGGCTATGATTTTTTGCATATGTTGTTATTAACTTGTAACCAAGCATTTGATGTGGGTATATGCATGAAACTGAAGAGAATTTAAATGTTAATGGCCAAGAAACCTTGGGTTCTAACTAACCTCAAGGTTAACAGTCACCTTTGCGCAGCTTTAGTAAGTTGGCCATAACTTGATATGAAAATATTGAAATTGGATGAAGTACAATTCTGTTAGAAACTAGATTCAGAGATAGTTCAACAATATAAAATCCAAGCTCTGATTCGTTGTCTATTAATACCAGAAAATTTGCAAAATTTGCTGAAAATCAAGACCCGCGCAGCTAGAGACTGGAATTTGCGCTGACTTGTGGTCCAACTTAGGGCCCTCTATTGATTGATTCACTAAATGATTCCTTCTGGATTTGTTTAGCATTTCTAGTGTCGGTTCTAAGGCCACCAATTTTACAGTAATTTGACATATATAACCTGAGTTATATGTGTTTAACTAATGACTGCATTTGTTGAAATTTCCACTTGCATAACATAGGAACTTGAAAGTGTACCGAATTGTGACTGAATTTAGATAAGTTTATGATCTGAATCTCTCGGTGGTTCCTTCTAAAAATAGTTAGAGCCTTGATTCTAGTTTTTAACGGCTTGAAATTTTGAATTTTCCGAAGTATACAAACCATGTTATGCATGTTTAATGGAACTTTGTCCATGCTGAAAATGATAGATAGCAGTGCAACTCTATAGTCGACTCAAGTATATTGGCATAACAGTTGAGATGATTTACGTTCTAGATTACTACTAGGAGTTTCAAACAGATAATTAATATTTTTATTTTACTATTTTAGGGGAAGGATAAAGAAGAATTTTGGGTGACACTATAGACAAATTCCAATTTATCTTGACTATGGAGTAAGTGGTTCTTTCATATCTCTATGGTTTTTAAATGTATTCATAAAAGGCTTTACTTGCTACTTGTTATGCAAGAATATATTTTGTTATATTAAATTGGATTGAGCATATGTAATTGTTCGATGACTATGTGCTTATGAATAATTGTACTATATGTTTCAAATGCGATTGTTATGCAATATTTCGAATATCATTAGACTTGCTTGAATAAATAAGGGACAGGAAAAGAATCTAGAATTGCTACATTTAAATGCCGGTACAGCCCTTCCACGAGTTATAATAGTAGACAAATGGCCCTATCACACGAAAAAGTAGTGATCGTAGTAATTATTCGGAACTACGTTTTTAACTTATAAATGGCCTTATCACGGGAAAGAATAATAATATATAAGAGTCTTGTCACGAGATATAATAATAACCGTGGAATACTCGTTAACTGAATGCAAAGTGAAAAGAGAAAAAGATCCACATATTGTAATTAAAAATTAATAAAACATGAATTCATGCATAGTTATGCATCGTATATGTAATATGCATGTAATTTTCTAATTGTGATTGAATTTTGTGAAATGATTTTACAAAACGTTCTATGTAATATTAATATGCTCGATCCAATGGTGATGTGACTAGGCTACTTACTAAGCAAGAGGATGCTCACCCTAATTAATTTCCTTTTGCAGATGAGAAGCAGGTCTAGAATGGTTGGAAGATTAATTTTGATCAGGCTATGTTTCTAGAGTTGAATTTTGCAAAATTGTAGCCTATCTGGTTTTTGTACCCTAGTAATGTATATATGTCAAGAGTTTAGCATGAAGCATTATATGAGCGATTTTCTATGTTTGAAACTTTTGTAAATTCATTTGAAGGTTTATGTGATACTCCCTCCGTCCCACTTTGATAGTCTTGTTTTCCTTTTTTGTCTGTCCCAAATTGTAGTCCACTTTCCCATTAAGAAATGTAGTAATCTTTTAAATTGTCTAAAATACCCTTATTAAATATCTTGTTATTAATACATTGTTATTAAATACTAACCCACTACATTGAATACATTGAGCTTTTTCAATACTAACCCATGATTGATATTAATTGGTACTCTTCGTGATTAGCATAAGGGTATTTTAGGAAATTATTAATCTAAATTTATGTTTCCAACCAAATTAATTACACTTTCTTAATCTGTGTGAAAAAAAAATCAAGACTAACAAAACGGGACGGAGGGAGTAGTTGCTTTGTGTTTATAAGTTCGACAGACGGTTTTGTATCCTCATGTATTAACATGTGTTTATCTTAATAATTCAACTTAATTAGAAGTATAATCATAATGATTAAAAAAAAAAATAGGTGTCGATGTTAAAAAATGTGTAATATGAATGTTACGCGCCACACTTTATTGTGTAACAGAAGACCTGAAAATTTTCCTCACCATAAAGGGGGAAATTAGGAAACCACAAAACTGAATCGGAAAAAGGATCCGTGCAATTAGAGCACGTGAGTCAAGTAGTCAACTCCATTCAATTAATGGTCCAAATCGAGCCACTTGGCCTCGGCTCAATGCAGTGGTTGATTTTGAGACGTAGGGTCAATTCTCCAACGACTCGAGCAAACGTAGTCCGATCCGTCAATAGCCAATCTTAGGTGCCCCGGATCCAAAGCGAATCTACCGACTTGCAATTGCGTGTCGCTTACGGTTTTGGGTTTTCCCAGACGTCAATGCTGACCAGCTCTGGACTCCTCAAAACTTGTATATAATACCCTCATCTTCCTCCCTTCTCCCACTCATTCATCGATCCTTGTTCAAATCCTCTCTCAAATTCGTCAATCAAAAGCCTTCACTGCTATTCTGTTTCTTCTCTCACAAGGTAATCAATTCCTTCCTTCTCCGACGATTTATCCTTTTCTGTTTGTTTTCAGAATACATAAAGATTTGTTGTTTGTTTGCTGCTTTAATTGATTCTGATATGGTTCTAGTTTCTTAATCTCCCAATCATAGACGGATCTGATAGTGATTATATTGGTTGCGTTTTTATTATTTTTAATTAGTCGGATTTTGATGCTAGGTTTTCTATAATTTCTGCAATACAATCCTAATTTTGGAAATTGGTTGCCCCTTTTCCTGATATTCGGGTCTTGTGTATGATCTATCAATTTAGGCTTTTTGTTCCTTGATGCCTTAATCGACGCTGTAGCTTCTTAGCCTTTTGATAACCGATGAACCCATGTGGATTAATTTGGTTGAACGAGAAGATTTTTGCCATTTTAATGCTTTTAATTGTGGTGGTCCGATTTTGATCTGGGTTTTTTTTTATATAATTTTTGGGTTGAACCCCTAAATTAAGAAATTTGGTGCTCCTATTCTTCTGTTATTCAGGTCTTTCCTTGGGAGTGAGTTTTCTTTTGCTAGGGTATATTTTCTGCTAGCAATTTCAATTTTGGGGTGAGGAATTTATATTAATTGGATCTGATTTGGTGTTTTGGTTTTTTCTTTCTCAACAGATGCAGATCTTCGTGAAAACCCTAACTGGAAAGACCATAACCCTTGAAGTTGAAAGCTCTGATACTATTGACAATGTCAAGGCCAAGATCCAAGACAAGGAGGGCATCCCTCCGGACCAGCAAAGGCTGATCTTTGCCGGAAAACAACTCGAGGATGGTCGTACCTTGGCTGACTACAACATTCAGAAGGAATCCACCCTTCATTTGGTTCTGCGTTTGAGGGGAGGGATGCAAATTTTCGTTAAGACTCTCACTGGGAAGACAATTACCCTTGAGGTCGAAAGCTCTGACACCATTGACAATGTCAAGGCCAAGATCCAAGACAAGGAGGGCATCCCTCCGGACCAGCAAAGGCTGATCTTTGCCGGAAAACAACTCGAGGATGGTCGTACCTTGGCTGACTACAACATTCAGAAGGAATCCACCCTTCATCTGGTGCTCAGGCTTCGTGGGGGAATGCAGATATTTGTAAAGACATTGACAGGAAAGACCATCACTTTGGAGGTGGAGAGTTCTGATACAATTGACAATGTGAAGGCCAAAATTCAAGACAAGGAAGGAATCCCACCGGATCAGCAGAGGTTGATTTTTGCTGGTAAGCAGCTTGAAGATGGCCGTACTCTTGCGGATTACAACATTCAGAAGGAGTCAACTCTTCACCTGGTGCTGAGGTTGAGAGGTGGAATGCAGATATTTGTAAAGACTTTGACTGGAAAGACCATCACTTTGGAGGTGGAGAGCTCAGATACCATTGACAATGTGAAAGCTAAAATACAGGATAAGGAAGGTATCCCACCTGACCAGCAGAGGTTGATCTTTGCTGGTAAGCAATTGGAGGATGGAAGGACTTTGGCTGATTATAACATCCAGAAAGAGTCCACACTCCACCTTGTCCTGCGTCTTCGTGGTGGCTTCTGAATGTTGAAGGCTGTCTTGCTATTGGAAGTTACATAATCCTGTTAATAATTTGCTTTGCTTGTGTCTCTTTGCTGCCCAAGTCATGGTGACTGGCTTTTTAAAGCCTTTGTAATTTTCGTTGTGGGATTGGATGGTGGTGTTATATTGTTTGCTGTGATGGGATTTTATAGTGGTGTTATCTGTTGCCAAATAAAATCGAGGACTTCTAAAAGCTTTTGTTAAAGTTTGCGTTATTATGTTTACTTGATTTCTTCTTGTTTTCAGTTTGTATATTTGCTGGGCTTGAGAGCATGCGTAGCTCGTTCAGTTGTCCAGTTCTTCCCTGATAATCATTTTCCGCATGTTCTATGTGCTTGTGCTCGCCTTCTTGGTGGGAGTGGTAAATTGGGCTGTTTCTTGGTAAATTGGGCTGTTTCTTGTTTCAACAGATTTTAGTCTGAAATTACACATTAGGGTTTTTTTGTGGTCAATGTCCGTACGAAGCACATTGAGGTTTTTTTGTCCTAAAATTTTCCAATCATATACCTTTCCCTTTTAAGTTTATCGTTAACACACCTAGTATTTATCTACTATAATATTACACACACACACACACACATATAGCAACAAATTATTATTTGACTTATTTAATCTTGCCTACTCTTCTTTATGTTTATTTAGTTTCTCTAATTAATTTTATATTTTTAAACATATAACACGTAAAGTATATTTTAATGAATGTCTTCAGATTGATATACACAGTCACACATACCTAGTAAATAGTAATCTACAAATTTTATTTTGTCATCATTTGTAATTTTTTTTTGAAGTAGAGCACAACCCCAGTGCTTGTATAAATAGGGGCAAACACGGAAGGGACGGACAGTGGCAGCAACCCCCAAAAAGTTTTTAAAATTTTAAGATTCTCCCTGTAATTTTAGTTGTCAACTAAAAACTCTGACCCCTTAAATATAATTATCAATAGCTGTTTTTGTTATTTTGATTAATTTCTTTAGATAAAGTATCTTATATCAAACTAGCAATTAGTTTTTTTTATATATATAAAAATATACCATTAGTATCTACATTACCTTACGATTAGTACTATTTTTGAACAACAATTACTAGAACAGCAACTAATATAACATTGTATTTGTTATATAGAAAATCCAAGATTATATAGGGTAATTAGTACTATTTTTCAAACAAATTTCTTATAACAGACTAACTCTTAGATTTTTGAAACGCTATAACTTTAAAATAGCAACTAATATAACACTGTATTTGTTGTATAGAAAATCAAAGCAAAAAAAAAAAAAAAAATCAACTATTGTACAAATTGGAGAATCTTCAACCACGATTTTAAACACTTCTTGGTGATAGTGAATAGAAACGATATATAATATAATTTTCACATTTTTTTCTTTATACTTTATCTTTTGTTTTTAAAAATTTCTTATTCCTGATTATAGTCTATTGAACTTTTGTGTTTACATTTAGTGTGCTTTATTTGATATAGAATTTTTATCCCCCAAACTAAAATCATGAATTCGTCACTGTGTATAAAAGCACAATTTGCATGTGCAGAAGATCCACCACAAGTTAAGTTTTCAAATAAATAATAGAATATAAAGCCGCTGAACGAATTTGTCCTTAGGTACAATATATAAGAATTCTAATTTTTCCCTTATTTTATATAATAAGAATAATTTCATCCCAATATCTTACACTAATGGTGGTAAGTGCATAAGTGACACGATTTTGATTTACCACATGCCGAACGTACCAATAAAGGGCCTGTCGGCTGCCCTTACCAAACTGCTGCCCTTTGGATTGCTATTTTTTTTTAAAAAAATATATATATGGTAATAATTTAATATATATAAAATAAAAAGATAATTGAAAGGTATATATACAAAGAACGTAAAAAAAAATTTTCTTGACGGGAAAGTACGGCGCGCAGGCAGCCATTTCTCTACGTGCGTAGATTCTGCATTCCAATTCTTGCTTTTTTCCACGCCCTGATGATATTATTTATTTTTTCAAGTTCAACCGTTAAGCTTACTAAATAGTAATGAGTTCGGACCAAGATAAAATTTTTCATCCTGCCGCGTAGGATTTGTCTTTCATCAGAAGCATAAGCGGCTCATTTAATTTACTTCAAAGTCAGAGATGAAGTAAAGAGTCATTTTTACTGCTGAATCTGTGCACAAGTGCGTAGTCTACATGTTTTAAGTCAAATGAATACATGCAATACCCTCCATTTTGGTTGCTGAGAGCATAGGAGATTTGCTTCATCATCCTGACTATTGCATCTCTGCCTATTCATCTGTATGTGACGTACACCTATGTTTCTGCTCACCGGAACTTCAACTGGTCTTGATAGCAAAGTATATTAATCCCTTGTTTAGATGCTCAATTTTATGGTAGAAGAATTTGCTTGATTCTGATTTTGACTAGAATCCGTTAGATGGTAAGGGAAGCTATTCATCTTGTTTAAATTTTTTGGTTCCAATACATTTGTTTGGTTCAAGTACCTGAAATGCGTATCATTACTATAGTTGATGTTTGGTTCGTCGACTCTTTCGGAATAGAACATAATAAATATATTATAAACCACATCGTAAATGATAGTTATTGGCTCTTTGTAAATGGGATATAAGAAATTTTTACTAATTAAATATATTAATATAAATGTATTAGTAAATTTAGTCTAACTAATTAATAATTTCTATTAGTAAACACGTAACTTCTCTGCTTGATTTGCTGGATTTTAGATTGGTCTTTACATTATCTAAATTATCACACGCACTTATTAAAGATAAAGTGGCCAGCCAACGCATACGAAGAATAATGCTTTTTTTAGGAATAAGTTGGAAAAATAAAAGAAGGCATGGTAATTGAAATCCTCAATGACTGGTGGGTGGCTAATATTAGTCCAGGTTAACGAAGTTGTATGTATAGCTTTGGAATCAGACATTATTCAGTGAAAAGGCCATTTCTTTCTATATATAAGAATTGGTTCCATCCTGCTATCACAACAAGTATTGATGGGCGACGCTGTAATAGGGTTGCAAACGAATCGAGCCGCTCGCGAGCAGCTCGAGTCAAGCTCGAGTCAAACTCGAACTCGAGCTCAGAATATTAAGCTCGTTAGCTCGCGAGCCGACTCGCGAGTTTGAGTATATATATATTTTTTTTTTTTTATTTTTATTTAATAATAAAATTACGTATATTATATATATATTTTTTTATTTTTTATTTTCATAGTGAAATTACGTATATATCCTTAATATTTTATTATTTATTCAGAAAAAAATATTATTTTATTTATTTTTTAAAAAAATAAAATAAATTTTTTTATTTTTTTCGAGCTCGAAAATTGCCAGCTCGTCGAGCTCGAGCTCGAGTTCGAGCTTGGTAAAATTTAGTCGAGACTCGGCTCGATTAGATTAAAACTCGACTCGGCTCGGCTCGTTTGCAGCCCTACGCTGTAGTGATCCAACTTGATCCTGTTAACGACAATACCCAATGAAAAAATTAGGGGTGAAAAACTAAAGTAGGAGTTCTCACAATGATACACTCATATTTCTTTTTAAATAGACAGCCTTCCATTTACATTTAGAGCTATTAAGCTCTCTATTTGGCCACTGGCCATTTGGTCCAGGGTGATGTTGGAGGTCAGGGGTTCAATCCTGCCTTCCTCAAATTTGCCACATTATGTGGCTGGTCTTACTTGACCATCTCCCCTTACCCCTTCCTGCTAAATTAGACTAGATTAGATTATATGGCATCTAACGTTGTTAACACAAAAAAAAAAAAAGAAAAAAGGAGCTCTCTATTTAATTTTTACATGCACAAACCGGCTCACAAATCGATAGTAAAAATAAGTAAATTAGCCTACAATAAGCAATTCCATTTTCCTTCGTAGCATCCAATTGGGTTGCCTTTTCTGTCGTGATAATTCAGATGGCACAATCGTTCCAGGGTCCACCGTCAAAGCCTTCCAACCCAATCAAATTCCTTCCTTAGAATTGGAGAACCAAGGTCAGGTCAGCAAAAGAATGCAAACTAGAGCTCTCAAAGCTGCCATGTAGAACGCGTTTAGGCAACTCCTTCAGTCCTAAGACGTCCTTAGGTGCAAATTACACTTTACCCACTTGCCGCTTGTGCAAAATGAAGTCCACCACAAGGGATAATTTCAGAAACCTCCGCTGAGGTTTCATGAAATATCACCTAGCTCCCCTAAATTTTTCAAAATATCACTTAGCACCCTTGAAGTGATAGTAGAGCCATATGCTAATATCAAAGGTGATGAATTTTCAATAATACCCTCATATTTAAATTTTCTAAACTTGTTTTTCTTTTTCTAAATGTCAATGAAATATAGGATTTAATCAATGAAATATTCAGTGCATTTGCAAAAAAATAGCTGCAGGCTCTTTTTTTTTTTTTGTGTTTCACAGCTTTATTTATTTATTTAGTTATTTGTTCCTATTCATGCAGAATGCAAGAGAAATAAAGTAACTAAAATTCCGAACTGTAGTTTTTCAAAATTTGAGTTTTTTATAATAAAATTTTCATATTTCACACCCATAAAAAAGTCCGTCTATTTTGAGTAAATTCTCTGTATAATATTGAAGTTGAATTTCATCTATTGCTGAGTGTTTTTGGCTCAAATGTATGATTTTTATATGCTAATTGCCTTCAATGCTACGGAGGGTTTTATTTATAGAAATGGTTTTAAAAATATTTGCTTTTACTGTCTCTCTCTACTATAGAAATAACTATTGGCTGTAATATAAAATCTTATCACTTTTCATTTCCTCACTTTTAAGATGGTTCCAATTTAGTACTTTTTTTCCTTGGTTTGTAAAATATTCATTTTTCTATAGGTTAAGGGTATTAAAGGAGCTAAAATAATCTCTCTCCTCCAACATGAATTTTTTAACATTACTTTTGGTTAGAAGAGTGACAATGTTACTAAAATGTCAATTCGAGGGGTGCTAAGTGATATTTTGAAAACCTCAAGGTAGTTAGGTGATATTGCATGAAACGTCAAGGTGGTTAGGTGACAAAATACACGTCATTCGACGACACACACGTCATCATCCGTAAAACGTAATTACGGAACAAGTGTTGAGGGGGGACGAGTTCCATACATGAAGTCCTATATAATATCGACTGGTTCCATCCTTCCATCGCAACAAGTACTGATGGGGGACGCTGTTGTGATCCAACTTG